GCTGTAACGGCGTAAAGGGATTAAATATGACATCACGTGAGGTAGGAGACGTTCGTAAACAGTTTGCCTACTTGATGACAACAGGAAACTGAAGGGTAAACAGCAGAGGGTGTCTCAGCACTGGAAAACGTTATGTTTTTATAAATAGCCAAACAGAAGGGGGATGAGCCCTGGATCCAATTAGGGAAAGGTATACCATAGCGTTCGGAATACATATTTGTATTGCTAGCGCCAAAGTGCTTTAGCATTGAATGAGACAGTTGCCTCAGTGTGCAGGTTGAATAAAGCAGGTTTCTTATGTTTTTCAAACCCATTCCAGGGGGTGGGGGAGGGCGAACGACACTGCCCTATCCCTAGAAATGCAGGAAAAGTGCATTGGGCATGTCTGATAAATTTATTCATATGCAATTGGAAGATCTCTTCATCTTACAACATCCTGAAACACAGGTACGTGATTCTTGGGAGGCAGAAGGCTCCAATAGCGAAGAGGCATGTCCAAAAATGCAAAATGACCAAGTTTATAGTACGTTTATAAAATGTTTATTACATACTTTTCAAATATTTTGCTTTATTTTGGTTTGTATACTTGTTTAAAAGGGTTTGCTTGCTGGTTAAAATAAATAAAATAACTTGCATATCCGTTTAACATCTAGCTGAAAGCTCATAAAATTTATAGTAAAACACCGATATATAGATTGAGATTTTATTAAATTTTTTGACAATATTTATTTTACTTTCAATTACGTTTGTAGTACAAAGAAAATTGTAGAGAGAAAATAGTACAGTCAGCTTGTCACATTTCATAACCGGTACAATACTATCTAGCATTTTGCACAGCAAAGCTCATAATTGATCTTGTACCATATTTGTTTTATATCATAGAGGTGAGGCTTCAAGATTGTGCTTTTTCAGTTTTGTTGCCAAAATGGGTGGTTAAATCCTCAACTTTTAGAAATTAACTGCATGAGGTAAAGATTAGATCAGAGGGTAATAAGAGAGATATAATGAGTGTTTAGAAGGAGAAAGGAATGGGTAAAGAGGGGTAGGAGTCTGGAAACACCAGGGCCATAGAGAAGCCCCCCCTGCCTCCCCATGCTATCCCTTCTACCCCCCAAGCAATATCCATGCATAGTCAGTTGAGGAGGAAACTTATCTGTCATTTCACGATAGGTAGGAGAGCCAAGTCCTCCACATCTCCTGGTATCTCTTTGTCTTGCCCAATAAGCTAGGAGTTTGTTCCTACAATATCCTAATCTCCTCAACTATGTTTAGTTAGCAAATGAAGGGGCCATGATTGTGTTACACCAGGTAGTCAGAATCTTTGAATAGGCTTCTTGATGTTTTGAGCAAATGGAATCCTTATATGAGAGGATTTGTAATTTAGACCATTGTTGTTCAGTAAATGTTAATGAAAATAGCTCACTTATAAAATTTGACTTATAACCAGCTATATTATTAATGGTCTTTTTCATATTTGAAAAACAATGTCACAGTATAAAATGACTTATGAATAGAAAGGAAAAAAAAATAAAATAAAAATCATAAGGCCACTGAAAGGCCCTTGAGGCATTTCGCATTGCTGAATCAGTTTTGACAAATTTCTTTTATGTCCTGTTTTTTGTAAAATAATAATATGCGCACTCACCTTGTTCGTCCACATTCACAGGTTTTTGTCATAAAAGCAGGACATGATGGGCAGGGTCCAGGATGACAGAGACTGGAAGAGAAAACATTAACATGAAGCTAGTTTTATGAATTTAACCCAGAAATATCACTTCACCCTTAAATGAACATTACAAACCTATACTCATGACCCTATAGTGTTAAAAACACTATCTAGCCCCCCTAAATATAGGACAATCTTTTTTACAGTCTGCTGGTGCTGGCTCCACCCCAAATCCGCCTCCTTGGCTGACATGATCATAAGTAATGATCACAGCCAATAACAATGCTTTCCCATAAGAAAGCATTGGATTGTCCGACAGTCAATTCTGATGATCTCAGCCAAGGAGGCGGGTCAGGGGTAGAGCCAAACGCCAACCTGGCCGATCAGCACCTCCTGACCAGAGATGCACTGAATCTATGAGGAACGTTCAGTGTTTCCATGCAGCACTGTCCCAGAAAGCACCTCTAATAGACATCCGATGTGTGGCCACTGGAGGGGTCCTCAGGCTGTAAACACTGCCTTTTCTCTGAAAGTACAGTGTTTACTGCAAAAAGCCTACAGGGATTGACTATACTCACCAGAACAACTATATTAAGCTGTAGTTGTTCTGGTGACTATAGTGTCCCTTTAATCTTAATGAAGATAATAACATAATTGCCAGACCTTTGTATCACAAACATATCTTCAGACAAAAGTAGTTGTGTTTACATACTACATGTGCATTTACTGATTGGTCCCTTTGGGGGGGGGGGAAAAAAAAAAAAAAAAAAAAAAAAAGGAATTCGGGCAAACCAAGAACATGCATTTCTCAGCAGTGGTGCTGCTGTAAAGGCCAAAATTAATACAAAATACAGATTAAGGAACAGTGCTAACACACACATGGAAAAACAGTTTTATATTTTAGAACGCTAATTAAAAATCACCTAAGCAAACAAATTAGGTGATTTGGTTACCACATGGCTGTATCGTGTTAAGCTCACCACTATATCATAGCACATCAATTTTGGTGGGTCATGCAAACTGTGATACTTCCAGAGATACTCCTCATATTTATGCTTTAGGAAGGTTATTTCATTGCCCAGTATAGGGTCATGATCTATTTACCAAAACCACTTCTGTACCTAAAGTTGTTTTGGTGCTTTAGGTGGTCCTTTAAATAGCTCCTGCTCAGACTAGTTAAAAGAAAATTCCCACGAATATGACTACATAACAGTGAGTCTTCAAATACATTACTGTTGCCTTATGGCTACATTTCACAGTACATTACAGACTACATATTACACCCAACCAAAACCTTTTATTTTTGTCTAAACATTGTAGTCAATATTAGAGGAGGGAAACCAATAACCTACATGTTGCAAGAGTGAGGACAGTCCAGGCCTGAACGCTTCTTCCCGCAGAGTTCACCACAGCTGTGAGGAATCTCATTCCTATTCCACTCAGGATGGTTTACCTTACCTAAAGAAGAAAAAGAAAAAAGAAAATAAAAACAGTGTTGTCACATGCCTGATGTGTGTGCCTGCTTCAGCTAAACAAGTCATGTGATCTAAATATTTGACATGAACATTGGAGTTGGCAAATCACCAAAATGTAGATATACCCCTGCCACAGGAAAATGGAGGCTACAAGGTAACATTTCTAGTGTAGAGGGATAGACATTATATCTCCTATGTTTTAGCTTTATGGGGAGATGTAAGAAAAAAAAAAAAAAATGATCAGCGTTTAGAAGCTTCTGTTTTCTGATGAATAGCTAGTAATAGTGCTACACTTACCACAAAAGCAGGTGTAGGTGCTTGGCACTCGAGCAGAGACATTCTGACAAGCAGGGCATCTCCAACCACTGTTGCCATCTGTGAAGGAAAAACAGTTTAAGTTTTGTGAATATACTGACCCCAACAGCTAACCCCAATCTCCAAAATCCTATGATTGAGAAGTTTTTTATGTCTACCACATAAACAAACAAACAAACAAACAAAAAAACATGATTCCCAGGAACAGGGACAAACCAAATGGCAACGGGTTGCTTCTTACCTAAATGTCACCAGGAGCAAAGCCTCAAGTCATGCCAGCCGAATGGCATCTAGCTTCTACAGGGCTGCAAAAGCTGGATGCTAATCAAGCTGTTTATTGGTGGAGAGAAACAGCGGACTGTGTTCAAGCAATGAATTCACCTCTATACATGGAATGTACAAGGAATATGAGCCAGCCCAAAACTCTTATTTCAAGTTGGCTAATGAAAACTGCCGGAGGAGCAGCAACATTGAACAACTACGTACGTACAGCATTTTATAATGAAACACGGCACCATGACCAATTTAAAACATTGACGTGCTCATGGGGTTTGAATCAACACTTAACGTTCAAAGAAAGAAACCAGGTTATTTTAGTCAGCTAAACAAAACATCCAATTTAATTTGTGATAAAGCTGAATACAACTTCCAGGGAAGCTCGGTAACAAATTAAAACCAGAGTAATAAATACCTAGTGTCCATTAATGTAACGGTTTACATTGTGCCCTCTGGGGCGTGAAATGTATTCTTGTGGAATGACAGCTTGGCTTTTATCTACTGTTCACATGTGAGGATCCTGTGTATGGACTTATTTGGATTAAAATAAAAGCTAAATGTGAATGTTTTTTTTAACAAAGGTTTATTGAGCACCTTAATCATGAGATTTGTTACAATGCAAACAACTAAATGTGATGGGCACAAAGTTTTGTTACAACCCAAAATAGCTTTTAAAAAGAAATTGCCAAGCACTGTACCCCAGAGAGAGAACAATTATTCAGGACACTTAGCGTAAAAGTAAATTAGAAAATGTGTATAAAAACAGGGATACAGTATCAAAAAAGGAATGAGCGACAAATAGTATAATATTGTAGCAAACAACAATTGAGTGCTACAATTGTTGCACTCACATGAAAGATAGGATATAGGAATGGCTAAGGGAGGCTACCCAGATGTGCATAGGGGGCAGAACCTCCTTTGCACGAAGACCGAGCTAAAATATCAGGATTCCAAGCCGGCATTAAAAGTAAGGTTTTTTTGTTGTTTGTTTTTTGAAATTCACAAAAAGTACAAATATAAAATAAATTTGTTCAATGTGCTTCTTCCAGTAAGTGCACTACCTCAGGGACCACAATCAATTTAAAAATAGATACTGTGAACCAGAAAAAAATAAAACCTATTACCCTCCATCCGGAGTATAATTTTGTAGAGCTAGTCCCTAGTAGCAAATGGCTACTGGACTTTAATGTCCATCTGGAATAGGCTTCGTAACCTGTATTGTCCAATCCTTTGGGCTCTGGTTGCACATGTCCACAGCCATGGCTTATCTTCTAATAACGGATTTGAGATGGGTGGTGAAATGCATGCGGAGGCGCCCTCAACACACACATGTTGCCTTCAACACACACGTGTGTGTTGAGGGCGCCTCCGCATGCATTTCACCACCCATCTCAAATCCGTTCCATCCTTTACTTCCTTTTCCTGTGATAGTGCTGATCACATGATGGCAAACTTTGTTCCCTTCATTGCTCAATAGATATTAAAGGAACACTATAGGATCAGGAACACAAACATTTATTCCTATAGTGTTAAACACACTATTTATCCCCTCTGCACTACCCCTCCCCCACAATATAGTATAATCTGATTTTTATTCAAGTTTGGCTGGTGCTGGCTATTCCTCCTCTGTCATCACAATCACAAGTATACCTCAGAAACCAAATATGTGCATTGTGTGCATATGTAGCACAGGCAATAGGAATGTTAGAATTCCTAGAATAGCGTACAAAGTAACTTTTAGCTACTGTATAAGTAAAGCTATAATTATTAGTAATATTTATAAAGTGGCGACAAATTCTGCATCGCTGTGCAATGGGAGGACTAACACGTAATTGTAACCAGACGAGTTGGACACACAGGAACAGAGAAGGTTGAAGGCTCTGCTCAGTGAGCTTACATGCTAGAGGGAGAGGGGTATAGTGACACAAAAGGTAAGGGTAGAAAAGTAGGTTGATAGAATAGTATTCAATGAGGGCTTAATGTTATATAGTAAAATCATTTGACAGTTGCAGGAGAGGAAGGTGCGCGGAGGGAAAGCTATTAACAGTTAATTGATATGAGGAAGAGAGTTTTCAATGATTTTTAGAAGGAATGGAAACTGGGTGAGAGTAACGGAGAAGGAATGGAAACTGGGTGAGAGTCTAACGGAGAAGGGAAGGCACACTGCAGTCCTAGAGAAGTCTTGAAGGTGAGCATCAGAGGTGGGAGTGTGAACAGAGTTTTTTGGCAGAGCATAGGTGCCTAGAAAGGACATACTTGTATATTAGGGAGGATAGGTAGTTTGGAGCAGCATTATGTAGAAATTTTAAGCAACTACCAGAATTTTAAATTGAGCGCTATATCTTATGGGAAGACAATGTATGGACTGACCGAGGGGAGAGGCATGGGAGGTGTGAGCAGATGCACCTCGCCTCCGCACTCATTATAGACTGTAACAGAGCAAGTTGGGAGCACACAAGAACACCGAGAAGCGGATTACAGTAGTCAAGGCGTGAGAGGATAGCGGCATGTTCATGTCCATTGTTAAATAAGGGCGGTGCACGTTATAAATCCATCTTCAGAAAGATCACATCTAAGTAAGCAATGCTAAATTAAAGGGACACTAGTCACCAGAACAAACATTTTAATTGAATTTTTTTCTGGTGAGTAGAATCATTCCCTTCAGGCTTTTTGCACTAAGCACTGCCTTTTCAGAGAAAATGCAGTATTTACATTACAGCCTAGTGATAACTTCACTGGCCACTCCTCAGATGGCTGTTAGCTGATGTCAGCAGGCATGTCTAAAGGAAACAGGGACAAAGTAAGCTGCGCAGACTTGAATACAAGTATGATTTTACTTTATTTAGGGAGTCATGAGCGGGACAGGGGAGCTAGATGGTGGTTTTAACCCTATAGGGTCAGGATTACATGTGTGTGTTCCTGACCATATTGTGCTCCTTTAACCTAAATGCAGAAATGTCTTTAAAATATTTCATGCACTTCTCTCAAGAAGCTGAAATGAAATTTATGTCAATGGCGATCCTTTGTATGCATCACTTTGCTGGGTGCTGGCAGCCCTACAGCAAAGAAGAATGTTTACCTTTACATGGCCAATGTCTCCATGTAGGAAAGAAAACAACCATTCTTCTTACCTTCAAACATGGAGATTTGGGCCATGTAGGAATATAAGAAGAATTTTTGATCTTAGCACTGTAGCTATATTAGCAATCAAGCCACATATAACAGTATAGATGCATATCAGTGTAACAGGAACAGTGGGTGATTGGGATCCAGACCTCTAATCCCACTAGTGGTCTGTACCTTCTCAACCTTTCAAAGCAATTACAACTAAAAGAAATGGTGCATAAACGAAACTGGCTAAATAACTTAACAGCTCTCTATAACAAGGGAGAAGAAAATGTTCTACATTATAAAAAAGGTTCATTTTATTTTTAACAGATTTCTTCCTATCCTCCTAGCATCCCATTATGCAGTTGACATGGCTCACAGATATGCTAATTGCCTTCACTCTGCTTTTGAAACATCTCAAAGCAAGTGACATGGAGAAATGAGCATGAGAGTTGTGCAAATATCTTACAAACAAAGGTGCATTCTATAATCTAAAACAGGGGGTGTTTTGAGTACGTGTGGTGTGATGTAATGTATTACAGCAAAGGCCTGCTATTATAACGTCAATTATGCTTCTATTGTTGTGTGTCACATTGAATAGGGATTGGCTCGAAGAAAAGTACATCACACATTTTTTTTTTTTTTTAATGCATGGAATGGTTTATTTAAAAATGCTCAAAATTACAATATTAATTTATCAATTTGATTAGATTTAGCTTCAAAATAGACACTTCATGCTCTCCATTAACAGGCATCTCTCATATTTGCGTATTATATTGTCAAAACAAGAATTTACCACAGGATAAATATCTGATAAACACATTGTTACCTAAAATATGAAAACTCTTTTTCCCCCCCTCTGTACAATTCTTAAATCAGTTCCATTATGAAATAAAAATAAATAAAACCAACTCTTTAAATATAATAATAATAATAAAAGATTTTGCATAGAAAATGAGTTGCAGAGCACATTGAAGCGGGTAGTAATACTGTTTTTTTTACTTTGTTGTGAATTATCAGAGTCACTTTTATCGCTCAGATCAACTTGTAGAAACATTCTAAATCCCAGTTCATCGAAGAAGAGATTCTTTTTTTTTTGACATTATTTATTGAGTTTTTCAAGTCAGGATGGGAGACAGAAAAAAGAGAAAAGGGTGGGGGAGGGAAGGGGGTTGACAATTATCAGATTACAATGCGTGACATCAACCTTTATAGAGCGTCAGTTCTGTTGGTGGAATAGGGCTGCGTTCAGTGTGTTTCCCAAGGTCAATGCATCTTTAACGTGCGGTGTGTCAGCCAGGGTGTTTCACAGTCGGGGCTATAGGGCGCTGCGCAGGTGTGCCTCTTGTGTTTTAGGTGGGTTCATGTTATTCAGGGGCTTGCGGTTATACTCCATTATTTTTGGTGGGTTGACGCCTTGCTTAGAGGGGGAGGGCGCAAGCTACATATGTGATCGGTTTTGGAATGCTCAGTCCAATGGGCAGTCAAAGCTCTGGTGATGTTTGGTCTTGGCATGGCACTGCCAAGGGGGGAAGGTGGGGGGGGGAGTCTGAGTCAGGGGTCTAACAGTGGAGTTGGGGTGGGATTAACAATGGGTATGTCAGGAATCGCTTGGAGGAGCGAGTTTGGGGGTTAAGTCCGTCCCCGTGCCGTGTAGGTAGTCCAGGGGTACCAGAGGAGAGCACATTTGTCCGAGCGCTCCCGCAGGGACGCAGTCATCATTTCCACATTATGGATTTCCTCCACCCTATCCACCCACTGTGTGTAGGTGGGTACTGTCTGGCTTTTCCAGTGTAGTGGAATGAGGCTTTTTGCAGCGGAGAGCAGGTCTATCGTAAGGGATTTTTTGTATTGTTGTGTAGAAGTGGTTGTGTGGTGGAGAAGCATTGGCAGTGGTTGTAGTGGGAGGTCTGAGTCTGTGATTTCCTTAATCTTTGTGTGTATCAGTTTCCAGTACGGGACTATGCGGGGGCATGACCACCAGATATGGAGATTGGAGCCTGGGGCGGATTTACATCTCCAGCATTCTCCCGAGGCTGTGTCGTGCATATGTTTTAGTACCTCCGGGGTCCTATACCATTGTGTGAGTAATTTATAGCTCATCTCTTGGTATTTGGAGCTTATGGAGCATTTGTGTGTTAAGAGAAAGATTTTCTCCCATTCTTGGGTAGTCAAGTGTGTGCCCGTCTCTCGTTCCCATTTTTCCGTAAACCCGAGTGGGCTGTCATTGCTCAGTGACTGTAGGCTTGTGTAGAGGTATGATACCGCATGTTCTATATGTTTCCTGTCTGTGCATAGCCGTTCGAAGTCAGTCAGTTGTCTGTGAATGTAGTCTTTGCCCTGTCGGGTCGTGTAATAGGTTTTAACCTGGTGGAAGCGGAACCTATCGAGCGGGGTCGGTTGCTGGGTAGTGATGACGTCGGACAGTGGCTTGAGGGTCCTGTCAACGATCCATTGATGTAAGTAGATCCAGTCCGTCTGGAGGAAGTTCCGAAAGGCCGTGGGGGGGGAGGCCCCCCGCTAGGTTCGGGTTGTAAGCGATCGGGGTGAGTGGGTTAGGTGATGTGGTGAGTTGGTGGGAAAAGCGCAGCCTACACCAGACTCCGAGGGTGGCGTCAATGAGTGGGTTTTGGGTTCGGAGTTCCGAGTAGGTGACCGAACCGAGCCAGATTCGGGCCGGGATTGCGCCCTGCGACTGCTGGGTCTCCATGAGCACCCATCGTTTGGTGCTTGGGCGTGCGTGCCAGTCAACTAGCCTCTGCAGGTGTGTGGCCTGGTAGTATCGCTGCACGGAGGGGAGCCCGGCTGCGGGACACCGAACGGTTCCATACAAAGCTTCGAATTTCCCGGGTCAGGGTGCGGAAGAATGATTGTGGGATTGTGGTAGGCAGCGTCGCGAATAGGTACAGGAGTCTGGGGAGGACATTCATCTTCAGCGCTTGTATGCGGCCGAACCAGGTGAGGTATTGCGGGCACCATCTGAGGAGGTCCTTTTGGATGTTCGCGGGGAGGGGGGGGGGGAATTCAGTTGATAAAGCTGCGAGAGGTCGCGTGGCAACCAGGTGCCCAGGTACCTCAGCTTGACCGATCGCCACGCGAAGGCAAACTTAGCGCTCAGGCGTTCGGCCAACCCCGCGTCGTCTAGTAAGGGCAGGGCTTCAGATTTGTCTAGATTCAATTTCAGATTCGAGACTTGGCGGTAGTCGTGGAATGCCTGGAGGAGATTAGGGATAGAGATGAGGGGTTGTTCTAGGAAAAACAGCATGTCGTCCGCGTACGCTGCCACCTTGTGTACCTCTG